GGCGTAGGCCACGCACATATCGACGACACTTTCTCGGGGACGGCGCGGACGCCGTTCTTGCTCACAGAGCAGCCAAGCACCGGAATCGGTGGCGCGCAGAATATTCACTTCTTCAAGTTGGCATACAGCTTGTTTTCGCGCATCACTTGGAAGACTTGCCTCAGATGCTTCAAGTGGACTTCAAGCGCACTGAGGCCTCCCTCAGCGCGACTGTGTACGAATATGTTGTCGAAGTAACTCAGTGCGAAATCGCGGAGCGGGCGCAGCACATGGGATACTATGCGATTGAACGTGGCGGGAGCATTCTTTAAGCCTTGTGGCATAACAAGCCACTCCCAGAGCATACCACTGGGAGTGCTTACCGCTGTGAGCGCTTTTGTCGCTCAGCCTCATGAGGATTTGGTAGAACCCATCGGTCAAGTCGATGGCGCTGAAACCTCACTACCCGACATTGCATCGAGCACCATGTCCATCCGAGGAATCGGCGTCTGGGCAGGGATGGTAGCGTCGTTCAGCTTGTTGAAGGCGTGGACGATGCGCCACCCACCCGTGGCTTTCTTCACACAGAAGGTCGGACTGGAGTGGGGGGATGTGCTCTCACGCACATGACCCGCCTTGCGGCGGCTCTCGAAGAAGTCATCAATAACTTGGACCTGATCTCGCGGGAGCGGCCACCGCCGCGTCACACAATAGCTCTAGCCGGGCACGAGATCGATCTCGTGGCGAATTTCTCGGTCCGCTGGTAAATCAGCTGGGATCTTATCCGGAAACCCATCTTCATATTCGCGGGTGGGCTCGTAGACTGGATTGCCGGATTCGCGTAGCGCTTCCCAAGATTGGGCTGCGAAGCGCTCCTCGCGAGCCGACTTCGGTTCAGCGCTCTTTGGGCGCGAGGTTGCGTCGTCGTCGCTGACTGCATTCACTTCGAGCGACGCCGAGTCGACGTCGGTGATCAGGCAAACCTGTTCGATTTCATCGTCCTTGAGGCCGCGAAGGAAGTTCTTCCAGGAGAGACCTGGAAGTCGGGTGATCGACCCCGCCTCTCGAGGTGGGTTTGCAAGCTGGAGTCTTCGTCGGCGACCAGAGGTACCTTCCACATACTCAAGCACGCAGACCGACTCCGTCGGTGAGCTGTCACTTGGTACGGGCTCTCGGCAAAGTTTCAGCCGACGCCGCTACGACTTCCTCTTTCGCCGCCTCGAGTGCGAACTCGAGGATGATGATTCGCTCTCGCTGGACGAGAGACCCCCCCCTCAAGCGGACCTCTGCTCGACCGCGGTAGTACTCGGCGGGAGCGCCAACTGCTCGACCACCGGCTCAATTGACGGGAGCCCCTGCTCGACCGCCATCTCGTTCGTCTGCCGGAGCCCCTGCACGACCGCCATCTCGTTTGTCTGCGGGAGCCCCTGCTCGACCACCAGTTGGTCTCCATCCCCGCGGCGACGCGGGGATTCGTCAGCTAACAGCACTGTGCAAGCCGTGCAGAGATGGCCATCGCTCACTCTGTGCACAACGTGCGTCGTGGATGACCAGTCCACGACGGTGACGTGAGGCCAATCCTTCTGGGCGACCAGGAGGTGCGTGAGCACCTCGCTCACATCATAATCACTGCGACGCTTGGCCGATCGGGCCAACCAGTAAATCTCTGGCTGATAGCGCGTCAACCACACATACTCAGCATGCGGTCAAACGCGTAATTCATCTCAATGACGAGGAAGTCGTCGTTGCTTCGAAACCGTCGAACGTGTACGGAAGTGTAATCTCGCGCCGCCCGACGCGGCGTGATTTCCCATCGGCCAACTTGACAGTGAACCCCCCTCTACCTTTGCGAACAGTGATGTCCGACGGGAATACCGACAAGCACGCCGCGCGGAAGAAGCTGTTGGTCGCTCCTGAATCAAGGAGCGCTCGCAGTTGTTGCCGGGCACCGGCGAAATGAAGACTGACAATGATCAATCTTGAATCGCTCGGCGTGGTGGTGGCATGAAAGTGTGCATGTAGCACATGAGGGCTAGGAGGTTAGGTTGCCACCGGGGAACCCGGACCTCCATTCCAGCCAGTTCTGCTCGACCGCGGTAGTACTCAGCGGGAGCGCCAACTGCTCGACCACCGGCTCAATTGACGGGAGCCCCTGCTCGACCGCCATCTCGTTCGTCTGCCGGAGCCCCTGCTCGACCGCCATCTCGTTCGTCTGCCGGAGCCCCTGCTCGACCGCCATCTCGTTTGTCTGCGGGAGCCCCTGATCGACCACCAGTTGGTCTTCATCCCCGCGGCGACGCGGGGATTCGTCAGCTAACAGCACTGTGCAAGCCGTGCAGAGATGGCCATCGCTCACTTTGTGCACAACGTGCGTCGTGGATGACCAGTCCACGACGGTGACGTGAGGCCAATCCTTCTGGGCGACCAGGAGGTGCGTGAGCACCTCGCTCACATCATAATCACTACGACGCTTGGCCGATCGGGCCAACCAGTAAATCTCTGGCTGATAGCGCGTCAACCACACATACTCAGGATGCGGTCAAACGCGTAATTCATCTCAATGACGAGGAAGTCGACGTTGCTTCGAAACCGTCGAACGTGTACGGAAGTGTAATCTCGCGCCGCGCGACGCGGCGTGATTTCCCATCGGCCAACTTGACAGCGAACTCCCCTCCACCTTTGCGAACAGTGATGTCCGACGGGAATACCGACAAGCACGACGCGCGGAAGAAGCTGTTGGTCGCTCCTGAATCAAGGAGCGCTCGCAGTGGTCGCCGGGCACCGGCGAATGAAGACTGACAATGATCAATCTTGAATCGCTCGGCGTGGTGGTGGCATGAAAGTGTGCATGTAGCACATGAGGGCTAGGAGGTTGGGTCTAGTGGATAAAAGAAGCTGGAGACGAGCACGATGCTAATACGGGCACTCGAATCAACCACACCGGAGTCTCTTAACTCCCGGAACTTCTTCACAGCCTTGGCATGACACATCAACACGCCGTACGACACCTCGTAAGCTTCGGTGGGGCGCGCGATGACCGACCTTCCGGCAACGGAAGCAGGTGAGAGAACGACTGTTCCGAGCGCCGTTCCGACGCGCTACATGACGCTGGCAATTAATCGTCGCATCGATAGCGTCGATGTCCATGGGATCGGGCACAGATTCCCGAGCTGAAACAGGTAGCGCGAGAGTGTATGACGCCACAACCACGTAGTCCTCGCGTAGGGCGAGGGCAAATATCTCTTCGAGTGTAGAGGGGTCCGATCTTGTAAGGCAGTAGCGCGTCATGCCTTCGCGCATACCGAACACGAGCACATGAACCTGAGAGGCCACAATGATGGGCTTGGAAACGATACACGACGCGAGGTGTCGTATCTTCTGGACGTAGTCGTGTATAGTCATCTTGCCTTGCCGAAGGGCGAAGAAGTCTGTCCGAATTCGGGATTCATCTTGCGGCGACTCGAGCGCGAGACGAAGGTCACTCTGGAGGGTATCCAGAGTGAGGAAGGCGTTGGGTTCGACGACTAGCTTACTGTGGGCTAATTCCTTGGCTTTCCTAGACAGCCGCGAGAGACGGAAGTGGACCTTCGCGGAAGGCGCCTCGATCAATCTCGAGGCGATGGCAATGTCGATCATACGAAACCAACGATTCAGCGGAGGTCGGTCTTCTCCGGCACCGGAGTAGGTGGACGTCTCTAGTTTCACAATATCATTCGTGGAGATACGCGAGGGAGTTGACACTTGCCGATTCGCATCGGCGAGCTCCCGTTGCATGAATTCTTGTACCACAACGCGCTGCTCGTCAGGCGTCACTGAGCGCAGCAGCGACAGCGACGTGACGACAGCTTCTCCGGACACCGCTGCGAGGAGATGGAGAGCTTCCCCCTCGATCCGAGTGGGATGGGGGAAATAAGCGTGATCAAGGTCTTTGTTTATTGTCGAACTTGGTCATTGGAAGGACTACGAAGTGCTACCAGGTGTAACGGGCCAGGTATTTACTCCGTTACTTGCTTACACTATAGTGTTGAGGAAGCTCGCAATAGGACGACTGAGTCTCAGGTTTAAGGAAAAATCAACTCTGACTTTATTTCAGGACCAAGGCCACAGCCCCGGCCACTCAAATACACGTCATAGTCCAATTAGCTAATAATTGGTCTGGCTCCCCATATATCAGCCAATGACATGACAGCATTTCAGCACACGCTAGTCGTGTGCCGATGCATCTACTTATGTAAAGAAATCTACCTACTTATGTAATGGAGGGGCCCATTACATTCGCTCTCTTAGGTATAGGCGACCTGTGAACTGCCGTTCACTGAGAGTTTGTATACTCTCGGAAGCCAACTTCCTCTAGCGCAAGGTGCTGTGTGACCCCGTCACAGCCAACGTACTGAGAGACCTTGCTAACTCTCCAACTTATGTACTGATAGTTTGTTAGCTCTCCGGGTACTCCGTACCCCTGTGTGCTCCACACCATGTAGCTCCGTTACACTCTCCCCCACTAAGATGAGTACATTCCGTTCTTGAAACTTCCTCAGCGAGGACACGTCTTGTCAAGACGGCGGAGGTTACTACACCTCACACCAGCGTTGTACAGATAGGCGAGCTTACAAACGCCTACGCATCGTTGATGCCCAACTTCTCGTCGTCGGCCACGGCCCAATGTTCCAAGCGCACCGCGCATCTTGTTCTCAAGCGGTCTCAGACCTACGCTCGCGCCCCGCGCCTACTTCAAGAGCTGCAAACCCCTTAGAGCTACGCTCTTGACTCATCCGAGTCGTCGACAACAGCTCAGCGGTTGACCACTCGCTTCACAAGCGACCGGTCGGTGGCTCGATCCCACCAGGGCGCCGCCCTCTCGTTTTATGAACGATTGTCCACGCTTGGACAAGCTTAAGGGAAACACCCTTTTAGCTCACCGGTGTTGGTTTTGAGAGTCGCAGGTCGGTGGCTCGAGCCCACCAGGGCACAGCCCTCTCGTTCCATGAACTGTTGTTCTAGAATGGACAAATTTAAGGGCAACACCTTTTAGCTCAGTGGCCGAGCGTTGAATTTGAAAGCCACAGGTCGTTGGTTCGATTTCACCCGGGCGCAGCCCTCTCATATCACGAGTAGTCCGCTCTAGGACAAACGTACGGACATCGCCCTTATAGAAAATTGGTAGAGCTTCGGCCTGGAAAGCCAAAGACCAGTGGTTCGATCCCCGACTGGGACACACCACTTTCGCTGTTACAGCGCATCCACATCTGGATCATGCTCATCGAGTAGGTTGTCTCAAAACAACTATGCGTCTATCGGGACGCTTGTGCCTGAATCTTGTTCAGCACAACACGAAGCACCTGCTTCCTTCGGGATCACGTCCCCGCCACCACGAGGTATCTCCACTTCCTGCTCCCGCTGCGAGCACCGTTCATACGTACGAGCGGGCTGCTGCAGCCACTGGTCAGAGCCTGAGCTCAGCTACAGACCTGGACGCTCCCCACTCTAGTGCGAGGCGCCCAGCGCCTGGCGACGCTGTCGCACGCCATGGTGTCACTTCGGCACAGGATGTGCCCGGTCGTAAGCGTCCACGACGTCAGGGCAATCTTGCCGGAGGATAACCTCAAACTCCCATTAGTTCTGGCGTGAGGGTAACCCCTCTACTTCACAAAGTGGAGGGGTCACAAAGTGGAGCGAGCCGCCCCGGCTTGTACTTCACCTCGAAGTTGTACTCGGCAAAGAAGGCAAGCCATCTTGCCATTCTCTGAGAGAGATGAGATGACTGTGTCACAGTGCGTAGCGAGGCATGATCAGTAAAGATCACAAAAGGCTTAGAGCCTAGCAGATGTACCCAGAATTTGACTAGATCATACTTCATGAAGTAGCTCTTTGTCATGAACCGGATAGTTCTTCTCTGTAGCTTTGAGCTGGCGATACTCGGGTACACTAATCTAATGCCTTATGTTCGCTCTGGCCATCCCCGCTTCGAGACGGAGATGGAACCTGCCAGCACGGCTGCGACCGGAACTCTCATTCCGTGGGTTCGCCAGAAGGCGTCTAACCGATACGCGTGGGTCCACTAAATCGTGAACGGCAACCTTCCGTTCGCGTTCGTTGAGATAATGGCGATTAGAAGGTAAATAACAACAGAAGAACTAAGTCTATTTACTAAATTAGTTTCTTTGTTTTCTTTTTTTGCTAGGTACACCAACTTGGCGCCAGTGTGTGAGGAGACCATCACTCACGACATGGAGCTCATCACCAAGGTGGCCGAGAAACACATTGGTGAAGAGCTGCCACAAGACTTTGGAGTCATTCTAGACTACTGCACGTTCGGCTGTGAGCACTACATGGCGGTGTATGGCTGCTACAAGCGAAACGGTGTGCGCCGGTGTCCTCTTCTCTCCATGGCGCCGGTGATCAATGGACCGAACGACTGTCGCACCGCAGAGCGTAAAGGGGTTACATGGTGTGGAACACACAGGGGTACGGAGTACCCGGAGAGTTACCAAACGCTCAGTACATAAGTCGGAGAGGTAACATAGTCTCTCAGTACGTTGGCTGAAAGCGACACTTATGTATTTGATTAGATTTAACTATGCTATATAGTTAAACAGATATATTTACCCCTAGGCGGCTTGGCCGCAATAATAGTAAATTAAACACTTCTGGTTTTGAAGCATTAAAGTTAAGGTATTAACTTTGAGCCCTGTAAGTTCCTTTGGATAAGAAACTTAGTATTTATGAGTCTTTGAGTCGAACGTCTTCCTCTGACGCTAAAGCTACGGCAGCCCCGCTGAACTTGGTAGCACTTGTAGTCAATCCCGTCGGTTGACTATATCCTCTGCGAGGATGAAACACCCCGTGTTCGCGAATTTGCCCCCGGCGCAGCAGGACGCGCTTACTAAGCTTATGTCCTTGCTTGACCCGGACGGCGGTGCTCATCTTGCATCGCAAGGACCAGAGGCGGTCACCACCAGGCTGGAATCGCTCTCACGCTACGAGAACGCACTCTTGAAGCACGTCCAAGAGAAGATGAGCGCCGCAATGGCGACGGCATCGATGACGCGTGGAGCGTCTATGCGACTGAAACCGGTCATGGTGAGCGTAAAAACCTTCGAGGGGAAGGATGGAGAGAATCTGCTTCTCTGGACCCGTGAGGTCGAGATGGCCATAGGATCGTCCCTTCCCCAGTCTGAGCATCAGCGTGTGGCGCTGGCTATCTCCAAACTTGTAGGCCGCGCTCGCAAATGAACACTAACGTGCGGCATGTCTGTTGACGCTGCATTTCGCATTTGGGATTAGCTGAAGTAATAGCTGTCGCGCGTGTTCGCGCCACCTAATCAGGCGTACCGTATCCGGTCAAAGTTCCTTGCTACCCGGCAGTCTAAGAAGGTGTTATTGGACTATGTCCAAGAGTTGAGAACTCTTATCGTCGGAATGGCGGCGGGCTCTCTTCTGGAACTGGTCAGTGTGACCGTGTTCATGGAGGGGCTTCGTGTGAGCGCAGCTCGAACGGAAGTGTTCCGTGTACACCCTAACGCTTTCGAAGAGGCGGTAGATATGGTATTAAATGCCGAGCACAACTTCAGGTCGGCTCGCCCTGGTTACAGCGCTGGTAGCGCGAGCTCTTTGAGCGGTCCGGGGCGGATGGACCACAGCTATGCTGAAGACGAAGAAGCGGAGCTTCTTGCTGCGGAGCAGCGCGCCGGTATCCGCCGATGCTCTGTGTGCAATAGCACTAAGCACTTGAGGGCCTATTGCCCTCTGCGCAAGAAGCGCGAGGCTCCGGCTAGCCTACCCTGCGTGTCATCGCCGGGAAACGGCAGCTCCCAGTAGGCGCGGGGCGGCATACTGGGGAAGCACTGAGTTCTGTTGTGCCTCGAAGAGGTAGAGGACAACGGGGCTCAGCCCCGAAGAGAGCTGAACTCTCTTACGAGAAGAGTGTATACAAGCTGGGCTTGCTGGTCGTTCAAGCGAGCGTGAAGGGCTTTGCAAAGCCATGGAGAGTCTTGATTGACTCGGGAGTCTCGCGCAACTACGCCCGTCGCTCCGTCCTGGAAGGGGTCAGCCATATTCGAAGGCACTGGAAGTACCAACGAAAGATACGATCTCTTCCCGTCTCGCGACGGGGACACTGGTAACTGTGTCGAAGGTCTCTGTCGACCTTGGAGTAAAGTTTGAGAGTTTCGATAGCGTGGAGCGTTGTTTGGTCTTAGACCTGGATGCAAGGTATGACCTCATCCTTGACATGGCATGACTGGAACGCCATGAGCCATGGATCGACTGGAAGTCGAAAACGCTGGGTGCGTCGCACCCTGCTCCTAGTGGAGCTTTGGTGAGTCATGCACCCATCTCTGCTAGGAAGCAGAAGCACTTTTGACGCGAGCACGAGGCCGAGGCGGCCGCAGTGCTGGACATTGATATGCCAGAAATTGTTAGCAACGATGTTGCTGTTTGCCCTGAGGGCGTACGTGGTCCGGCACGGTAATCCGCTGAGTGGTGCAGGTCAGGTCAATGGCCAACTGCTGGGATCCTGGTGAGGACGAATGCGGGGTGGCGCATAATCCACTGAGTGGTACGATTCTGGCCGATGACCTACCGCTGTGTGCCCGAAGGTCGCGATCGACTGCGAGTCGAAGCATCGTGGGCACGGCCCAGGAGATGAAGGTGAAGTGACACATAGTTTACTGTGTGAGGGACAAGGACCTTTTGGCTCTCCGCCGAGTGTCTTGCGAGACACTATCTCCTCTTCTAGGAGTAGTGGTGCTGCTGCACCAGGTGGTGGCGATGGAGTTGTCGCCACTCCGGCTGGGCTCGGTCGTGAAGGGAGACGAGAAGAAGAAGCAGGGGGTCTATGACGTCTTCGACGTCGGACGAGGTGTCCAACGTGAGGAGCGGTGAGGCCCACGTGATTGGTGTGAGCAGCTGTACACACTCGTCAATGGTGTGCGGGGGAGGTCGAAGACGACATCGGCTTTGACACTCTGCCCGCTGCGGATGCTCGGCTAGACCTCGCCGAGACGTCGTTTGCCGAGTTTGGCGAAGCCTTGAGGGCTGGCGAGCTAGCCGAGGTGGTCCTACTAAGACCTAAAGAGGAGTTGAACTTCTCTTCCGTCATGGACGACGCGATCCTAGAAGACACCAAGAAGGGGCTGAGCGCAAGAAGTGGATGTGCGATCCTAAATGGTTTGCGGATCCCTTCTACCCTGTGGTGAAGGGGTATGGAGACGTTGTCTCGAAAACCCTGCCGACGGGCCTGCCTCCGGATCGAGGCATGTGTCATGAGATTGACCTGGTTCCTGGAACCAAATACTGCGCTACAAAGCAATGACCTTTGCCGAGATATGTGACGTCATTGACGCAATCTTCCGTGCGAAGCACGAGGCAGGGATGGTGCGTGAGAGTAAGTCTCCGCACTCGACACCCACGCTCTGTGTCAGAAAGCCGAACGGCAAGTGGCGCATTGTTCATGCTTTTAACAAGCTAAATGCGGCCACTATCCCGGCGCAAACGCCGGTTCCTCGCAAGGATGTTCTGCAGAACAACATGGTAGGCTGTACGTTGTACAGCGTGCTCGACTTGGTCGACGGTTACTACCAATTGTTCATGAGAGCGAGCGACATTCCGCTGACAGCAGTGAGTACCCCCAGCGGTATGCTAAAGGAGTGGCTGGTCATGAATGGCTCGGGGGCTGTCAAACACACCAGCAACGCTCAATCGTTTTGTGACGCAGTTGAATTGGCCCCACCGGGCGTACGCTCAGACCTACTTTGACGCTATATTCGTCTATAGTCGTGCTGAGCACGGAAAGTCAGACGTGGAGAACCAAATTGACCACTTGCGAGCGGTGCTCGAGTGCATGCGCACTAATAAGTTGTTTGCCAACTTGAACAAGTGTGTCTTTGGCGCAGAAGAGATACCTTTCCTCGGGTGCTTCATTGGGAAGCGTGGCTTACGGGCAGATTCTGCCAAAGTCAAGGCCATCGTGGACAGGTCGGTTCCCAAGAACCAAAAAAACTTACGCAAGTGCTTAGACTTAGCCAACTACTTGCACAAGTACAGCACGAACTACGCGGATATGGCTCGGCCAATATCAGATCTCCTTAAGAAGG